TAACGGTCTGGGATTCTGTGATTCTGTATTTAAAATATTGATTCTGCTGGTGCAGGAAGAAATGCTGCTAGTATTGGAAGGACTAAATGTCAACACAGTTGAAAACAAAACAAAACACCTCACAAAACTAATCAAGGAAAACATGTAGAAATAAAATAGGTTTCTGTTAATTTTCTTCTTAGGATAAGGATGTTTCAGAAGAGTGGGATGTGAGGGTCTGCAGCGTGCTCAATACAAAAAATGCTTTATTGACTCAAATGAGTAGGTTGTCATCAAAGCTCTACCCATGCTTCAGAAAAGGACAGTTGACAATAACAGATTAAGAAAGGAGAAATCTCTTCCTAACATGGACTGTTAGAGGTGGCAGGATTTTCATAGGATTTTGGCTGTGCAGTCTGCAGGAGTATTGCAGCACAGCTCTGGCCAGCAGGAACACTAGTTGTAGAAGCTTGCTCAAGTATTATGAGTTTCTTGGTGGTAGAGAAATCCCACGAAGTAAATGCATTTTAGTTTCAAGCAGAGAATTTTGTAGAAGGAAGAGAGTCATTTAAGTGTGTAGATTAAATAATCTGGATGTGCTGGAGAGCTGCTTGGAAAGACATTACACCTGATTCTTAATTATACAAAGGCCCCTTTCCTCTGGGCTGATATTGAAAATGACCTTGCAGTGTCTATAAAAAGAAATTATCTTCTTTTACAGGCACTTGCACTTCCTGAGTACTCTTATTGTGCATTAGGTCATAAATTTCTGGTAGTTTATTTGCAGATCAGTGTTGCTTTATGAACAGTTCTCTATTCTTGTAAGTAACTGTACTAATTTTTTTCTACTTGGTTATTTTTACAGATCTGTTGTGCTCACTTATTCCATCACTAGGAGTATTATAAGTAATAATATCTATATTCCTTTTGATGTTAATAGCAGATTCAGAATGATTCTGGATTTTTACATTAAACATAGCAGTGCCAGACAACCCGTGCCCTGAATAATTTATAAAGAATAAGAAAAGGATTAAAGGTAGGCCACACAGATACGTACTTCCATGTGAGTTTAGTTAGACCTTAAAGCAGAGGAGATACATTTCAGTCTCCCTGAGATAGATGCATTCACAGAATCACAGAACGTTAGGGATTGGAAGGGACCTCCAAAGCTCATCCAGTCCAATCCCCCTGCCGGAGCAGGAACACCCAGATGAGGTTACACAGGAAGGCGTCCAGGCGGGTTTTGAATGTCTGCAGAGAAGGAGACTCCACAACCTCTCTGGGCAGCCTGGGCCAGGGCTCTGTCACCCTCACTGAGAAGAAGTTTCTTCTCCAATTGAAGTGGAACCGCCTGTGTTCCAGCTTGTGTCCGTTACCCCTTGTCCTATCATTGTTTGTCACCGAGAAGAGCCTGGCTCCATCCTCGTGACACTCACCCTTTCTATATTTATAAACATGAATGAGGTCTCCCCTCAGTCTCCTCTTCCGCAAACTAAAGAGCCCCAGCTCCCTCAGCCGCTCCTCATAAGGGAGATGCTCCACTCCCTCCATCATCTTTGTAGCCCTACGCTGGACTCTCTCCAGCAGTTCCTGTCCTTCTTGAACTGAGGGGCCCAGAACTGGACACAATATTCCAGATGCGGTCTCACCAGGGCAGAGTAGAGGGGAAGGAGAACCTCTCTGCCCTACAACCACCCCCCTCCTGATACACCCCAGGATGCCATTCATTCTCTTGCTCTCAATTATCATTTCATCTTCTGTTGCTTTTTCTCTGAACTCCTTTCAGTCTATAGGTTTTGGTAACAAGGGCCCCTCAAGGGTGAATGTAGCATTTCAGGAATGTTTTCCCAGTTGTTCTATGGCTGCTCCTTCACCATCCTTTGTCAGTTTGTATTTTCTAACGTGCAATTACTGCACAGGAAATAACAGGACTGAAATTGTTCTGACTAAAGAGGGAGACGTGATTCATTCTATATATAGCATCTGCAAACTGAGTTAAGCTTGAGTGTTCAAACGCTTCAAAAGCAGCTGCTGTAAGAATCAAAGATGATTACAAGAGACAGCAATGCACGTAAATATTTTATAAGACAACGTGAAGTTTAATAATTGATTTAATAAAACCCACAATAAAGCAACACGTTTCTGCTTTTTTCTTCAATTAAACAAATGGAAATTATTACAATAAAAAACTCCAAATACATGTCTACCGTACTTCAACTTCTAATTACAGCAACTGTAAACCCCAATTTAATTAAAACTTATTTAAGTATTAGTATGTGCAAAATACCTGTTGTTTGTATGTGGTCTTTTTTCCAGTAATTTGTAAGGATGGGATGCTTGTTTTCCATGAACTGTGCTATGGCTTAATTAATGACAGTGTTTGTATTGAAGCATTAACTTCCCAAGCACAGGGCTCCTTTGCCTCCGAGCTGTGTGTGCTCCCATGCTGTACTCAGCGTCCCCATTTCCTGTCAGAGCAGATACAAACATAATCCAGTGTACGTGCACTTTGTCCAAATTAATGCTGTGCTGTCAGTTTTCACTTCTAAAAATTCATCATGTGACCTCTACCACAGAAAAAAGGGGAGAGAAGAAGCCGAGGTTGTTACTACCAATTGCTGGTATGAATCAGCCTGATGAACATGGGAAACTCTGGCAAGTTTCAAAACAGAGAAAAGCTGAAGTATTCACATGAATATCGCAGTACCCATGACTGGGCAAAATCAATCTTTCTGATTCACACAGAACTACTTTTAATGTCAGTGGAAGTTCGTATCATAAATCGTAGAATACCAGGTTCGAAGAGACTTCAGAGATCATCTGGTCCAACCTCTCTTGGCATAAGCACAGTCTAGACAAGATGGCCCAGCACCCCGTCCAGCTGAGTCTTGTGCGTAAAGATCAAAGTACACAACAAGAAACAAATATTTGAAGCCAATTTCTTACCATCCTCTGAACTTTGCAGGTTATATTCTTGTTGCTCCCAGCTTCTTCAATGCAAACGACATCAGAAGCAGGCATAAATCTGGGCATGGAGGTATATGATAGCTTAGCGTCACGTTTTATGGTGTGTACATTCGAAGCTCAGTGATTCCACCACGAGACTAAGCAGTTCGGTTTTGTGGACTTCGAGGGTGAATAAAGTCTTTGCCTCAGCCCTCCATAAATAAGAAAAGGCTTTTCTACCTCTGTAGGTTGTTACGATATTGTTGTCCAACACCATTAGGTTACTGAGCTTGCTTGGATTTTACTTTATTCATAAAGGTGAGTAGTGAGGGACTTTTACTGGA